GAGAGAGAGAGAGAGAGAGAGAGAGAGAGAGAGAGAGAGAGAGAGAGAGAGAGAGAGAGAGAGAGAGAGAGAGAGAGTAGCGACGAAGATCATCGTCGAACAAAAAGGTGTCTTCGAAAAGACATGGTGACAGATGAGGGAAGCTACTTGAGCGTACCCCTCATCAACTCGGGCACGAGTAACACGGTGAGCAACTGGAGCACGAGAAACATTAATTTTGAAATTTGAATTAAATTATTAAACCCCTACCATAGCAGAGCACGAGAAACATTAATTTTGAAATTTGAATCAAATTATTTAACCCCTACCATAGCATAAGAAAGAGGAGCCAAAGATCACTATAGATTCTGAGAAGAGCCATATATAACACCAGCAAGTAAACTGCTACAAGGGTGAAACAATAGGTTGGAGTCACACCCCTACCGCGCGTTCAGAATAGGAAACGTTTTTCTTTAGCAGTTCCCGAAATAATTATGGTGCAAAAAAGGCGAAAGGCGAAAGGCGACCCCCTAAAATCTGCCGAGCGCCACTGCGGGTAATGAGTGAGTGAGGCAGTTTAAGGACAACCCCCCCCCCCCCCGCGCCCCCCAAAGTACATTTGCTCATTTCGAAAGTCACAGCGTTCGGAAAAAAAAAAAAAAAAAAAAAAGTCACAGCGTGACAGCAGCTCCACTTTTGTCTTTTCTTGCCTACTGTAGCATTTAAAACTACAAGTATTCCACAGCCACAGTTTCTTTTTTTTTTTTTTTTTGTTTGTCACAGCCACAGTTTCCACGCAATGAGTGTGACAGTGTACAAAAAAACACCATCAAGTGAAAGAAAACACCAACAAGTGAAGGGGTGGTAATGAGTGTGTTTACAAAAAAAAAGAAAAAAAAAAGGAAAAAAAAAGAAGGAAAAAAAGAGTGTGTGAACAACGTGTTAGGGACTGGTCGGCGGTCGCAGCACCCCTGGCCAAACAGCAATATTTTGAATGCACAAACACAAAAGGGGATCCAGATACATTCAGAAAAAGGTTGGCTTCTTGAACGAGTGGTGCGGCGGATCCCCAACACGGACACAGACTCGTTAGTACAGCCATAATGCCTGCGCCACCTTCTTCCCCCGAATACAACGCATGGTCATTATAACTGTAGTTAGACTGAAAGTCCTTTTTTTTTTTTCTTTTCTCTTTTTTTTTGGAACTGAAAGTTTGAAAGATCGTACTTAAAAAAAAAA